TCGACAGAAGTTGCGATTGTCATGCGTATCTTTCAGTGAAGCACGGTTCTGTAAACAGCAGTAAATCTCCATCCAAAGGCCAGAGGGCACTCTCACGCTGAAACTCCAAATACGCCTTGCAGAAGAAACCCAGAAAATGCCTATTGCTGCAGCTGAATAAACAGAAGATTCAACTGCTTCATTGATTCAACTGACTAATAAACACACGACTACGGCAATATACGGTTTATCTGAGTTCTTATTATTATAATTTTCATTAAAATAAAGTATATTTATAATGCAATGCCTTTATCACTGCTTAAATACTATGAAATATGTTGCGTGCCTTATTCTGTGTAAGAAGCCACATCATCTCACAGAAGGATTTATTTCAAACACTCGACTGACGTTATGAAGTGAGTTTGGAGTAAAAATATGTTATTAAATGTGGTATTTTCACATGCTTTCAGATGGAGCAGCATTTAGACTGACATTATGAAGTGAGTTTGGAGTAAAAATGTGTTATTAAATGTGGTATTTTCACATGCTTTCAGATGGAGCAGCATTATCTTCACAGAGCCGTAGTTCACTGAGAAGCTATGCAAACAGCTGTCATTATCGCGAACGATTTCTTCGATTTCGCGCAAAATCGTCTGCGATTTTTTTGCGTAACTTGTCAGTGAACTACGGCTATGTGTAGTAAATTTTGCTCCATCTGAAAGCACGTGATGATGATTTCCTGCTGATTACAGAACCGGCTTTACTAACAAAATGCGCATGACAATTGCATTCGATTAATCGTGCAGCCCTAATTACAACCATGAAACATGTTGTCCAATCCTCAAATGATGACATGTGCACAGAATATCAAACAGAGATTTCTTGATTTGTGTCCAATTTTGACTTGTGTTTGAGTTGAGTTTGACTTGATTTGATTCAGTTCTGATTCACTTGGGTTACAGTGATGTTGATTCAGTAATCACTCTGACAGATTCAGTATGTGATTTTTTGAAAGATTCGTTCAAAGAAATTGACTCATAAAACTCGTTTGTTTGTCAATCAGACTACACTAGCCATGAAGATAGCGTTTGCTTTCGTGTACATTTATGTTGGAAGTCTACATCAAGTGGCATTGTACTTTTCCAAGTAGAAAGTTGGAAAATTTACAAGTTGAATGGAACACACCATTGGGGATAAATCACACCCCAAATAACAATATGAAACAAATAAAAATGTCTTTTGGTAGCTTTACCTGTTCCCTGGTTAGGGCACTTTGTCAGGACCTCAGGAGCCCTAAAGCCTGGGGTACCAGCCCTCGGAGCCACCTGCTGTTTCCTAGGAAAAGCAAAGCGTTCTTCACTCATTGCACTATTAAATTAATGCTGTAAAGCCTGACATATGAAATAATATTCAGAATTTTTTTTTTAAATGGCACAGTTTATTGAACTACTAGACAAAATCTAAAAAAAATAATGTTCGCATTTTTTATTGTGGGGGGCAAAACATAATGCAACGCAAGACAATGATGAATGAGAGATGTACAAATAAGTGTACCTAAAAAAATGTTGCCATGATTTTTCTAAAAAATAAGGATAATCCACAATGTTTAGATAATCAAGTAAACTTAAATTACTTCAGTCCAATAAGTGTGCATCTTGAAATACTACTGACAATATAAAAGTTATTCCTACATTTACTTAAAAAACAAAAATCAGTAAAGATCGCACAGCTAAAAGACCAAAAAGTGTACCCAGCTAAAAGGGTACCACGTCCTGAAGGTTTTTACAATTATACTAAAAGGACTTTTACTTGCTAAAAAAGTATAAAATATTATGTAGTAGATTGTGTAGAACAGCAAATATTCCTGCATAGTTTTGATAATTTCTAGGCCTTAGAAATTTGCATATCAATTAAGATTAAAAATAGGCTTTATAAAAATAAAAATCTGTAACTATATGACTTGATTAAGAGCATGTACCTGGACAGGCAGATGTTGCAGATGCGGTCAGTCATGTAGCAATTGCAGGTGAGACTCGGGCTGACGGCAGGGGGTTTGGGTTTTTGACTCTCAATGGGGGCTTTTTGTCTCTGATTCAGTGGTGTTCTCACTGGTACTGAACGGTGTTTTGAAGAAACAATCTTGCGTGGAATTAATTCCTCTCGTTTTGGTTTTGAAAGCAGTCCCTGAAATACAATTTGACAGGTGAAGAGCTTATAGTTATTCAGAAGGTGAAGATGCAACCAGTGTGAAAATAGATGCTAACCTCAACTTTGTCAGTGCCAGGTTTATGAGAGTTTGTGCCATTTATGTTTTTCTCCCCAAATACAGACCGTGGTGCATTATCAAGTTCCAACAGTTCCTTTGAGAGGAAGGACATAAGTTTTTACATAAGTTTCCCCAAAACAAAACGTAAGTATGTAAACTTGGAAGTACAGTATTCCCCTAATTTGACAATCATCATCATATTAAAAACTTAATTTATTTAACAAAGAAACCAGTGCAGACACCTTGCTGTGTTTAATGCGTGAAGCTGGGCATGGTCTTTTAGCAGGTGCTTTAGTGCTGGACTGGAGAGCAGTGTTTCTGGTGTTGGGTGGTAAAGGCACAAGTTTCTGTTTCCCAAGTGATTCCTCCACCATCTTAGTAGATGACCCGCCACCTTTATGAGATTTTGATTTCACCACCTTCAGCAGTTCTATTTGTGTATCAGGAGTGCCCTGTGCCAGTCCAAAATCCACTAGAGCATACCTGAGGAAAGTGAGAGATGGGAATCAGCATGCCTCAGTTTACTTGGATCTATTCCTGTGGTTATAAACCTTTTTTATTCCAAGGCCCCCTTGGTCCAAGACAATATTTGAATGACCTGCTAAACTGATCATGTAACGTTGTTATTGTAACATTTCGATTACAACCCCTTCACCCCAAAATTTGCAATAAATAGACTATTATGTGTATAAATGTCTATAAATCAAAAACTTTGACACTTCAAAAAGACTTAGTAAACTTTTTCCATATGGATCGATTAATCCAAGTCGGGAAAAGAAAAGAGCAACAGAAACCTCAGGTTTCAATAAAAATCATCTGTGTTTTGAAGACGAACAAAAGTCTAATGGGTTTGAAACAGCACAAGGGTGACAAAAAAAATTATTAGGAAAGCACAATATTCAGCACCAAACTGGTTATATCAATATTAAAGGTAATTTCTCCCACTATTACATTACGATTACCTTTGCTATCATCTAACACTCATTTAGCTGGTTAATTAATTGTTACCATTATCTTAAATAAGCAAGAAACTGTGGCGATTACATGTGTTTCAGGAAGAGAGTCTAGAACCACAGAGACATGAACATCAGATACATACTCCCTCTTTTGTCGATTGAACAGGAAATTAGTTGGTTTGATGTCTCGGTGGATGATGCCAAACTTGTGAATGTGTCTCAAGGCTTTGAGCAGGTGGAAGATGTAATGCCTCACATCCTCAAAACTCAAGGAGCCAACAATATCCTACAAGGAATTAAGACTTTTGGGTAAAATCTTGGGTACTGGTTAAGCAATTCATGATGTATCATTATTTGGGGTAAAAGCACATACTGCGGACACTTACCACAAAGGTTTGATGCTCCATGTATGGCATGACAATGACCACGTAATGCTCTTTCCTGAAGCAGTATGTGACTCCCATCACATTTTCTTTCCCTCTGTGGAGGGAAATATAATTGACAAATCCTCTACTGTAACTCTGAAACCCAAGACTGTTCCTCACAAGGTATCTATGCCAGAATACATGAAAATAAATGGTAATAGGTCAAAATATGAAAATATTTTCACCACTCACCCAGCAACAGTCAGGCACTGGAGTTCAGCGGCTATACGCACAGGGTGACTGGTAGGGATCAGGTGTTTCAATGCAAACATCCTTCTCGACCCATCGGTCATCTGTGCCTCTGCCAAATACACTGAGCTGAAAGTACCTGTAAATGTCAATAAAGGATCTTAAAGGTTTGTCAATCAGCAGAAGGAAAACAAAAAGCGTGATTTCAGTGCATTCAAAGAAATCCCATCATACAGTATTTAAGCAGCAAGAAATATAATGGCAAACCTTCTCCAATTTTATCTATGATACGAAAAATTTGAGACAGCTGCGGCAGAACTTCATACAGGTGTGCAATGTCTGTCTCAACATCCCCTAAACAAAAGAGAATCAGGTAGGTTTAATTATTTTTATAAACAGTTATAAAGTTATCTACAAATGTCACAAAACAAGCATTCATTCCCTTGAGAAAAGGAAGTACCCTTCAGCATGCCTAAAAGAAAGTACTCAGTGAAATAACACACTGTAAAAGAATATACTTAAATGCAAACTGAATGTAATGTTTTTGGACAACTAACTGCATGTTAATACAAATTAAATGAGAATGTATTAGATGAAGCATACTGCTGAATGTACTGACAAGCATTTTAGGAAACCTAAATTCTACTTTAATGTTATTTCTGTTGAAACTTGTATGTCATGCATTTATATACATTTTTAATTAAATGTAATCTCAAATAACACATTACAGTTCCAATTATAATCAAGTACTTAACAAAAATACACTTGAAAATGTGTATTTCTTTAAGGCACAGGAAAAGATTATTATGATTATATGCACTTCTTTCTCACGGGGGTTCCTGCATATTGAAAAATTGTCTCACTCACTGGGAATTCTGTGTTGGCCCCTGCCCTTTGCAACACTTTGTTGAGTGCTCCTCTGGACAGTCTGAGCTGCTTCCATTTAATCCCACAATAACCAACAGCTATAATGTGGGAAACTGTTGGATGACATTAAATAGTATTATTACTCATTTACAGTTTTAACTGGCATATTACTAGTTTAACTGTATCCAAACAAGGCCAACAAACACACACAATAATAGTAAAAAAAAAAACTTAATATACCTTTTAAGGTCGTAAGTTACTGCGGTAATTAACATATTATAGCTTACCTGTTTTTGTTTTGTTTTTTTCACCGAGTTTATGATAAACACTGTCCCAGCAGTCTGCACTGACATAAACGGTTACCGCGTAGAGTTCACAAGTTAACTTAAGGGCCTATTCTGATATTAAACACTAAATTCGTCACCCTGTCAAACACGTTTATTTCTAAAAGAAGAGCGAATATTTTAATATACACAAACTTCGGCCTTGCTAAACTGTCTCTCTTCCTGACGACTTCCAAGTCCCGCGCTAAAACAAGACGCAGATCACGTGACCAGTGCTATGCCATTTGGTTCAAGAATGCAGTTTCACCAACTCAGACAATGCGCGGTTTACCTTTAACAAAGTTACATTTTTATACAACTATAGCTGATATGAATTTAATGATGGCTGAAATTTAATATGGAAGTTTTTCCCTAATAAAATTTTAATTATAAATCGAATGCTGAAATACAATTCTCAAAATAACAGTTCAAATGATGAAGACAATTTAAAATGCAGTTTAATTTCCCCCAAAAATCATTCCCCTAACAAAATTAAAATGAAGAAAAAAGTCACATTCTAACAAATACTATTTACAATTCATACCACTTTGTCATTGTTTTTAATGCAGGACACACAGTTAACAACCTACGCAAACACTCAGAAGATCCTGAAATCAAGTCACTAGCGGGGGAGGTGTATAAACACTGGAGGACCTTCATTGAGGAACATGCAAGTTATATCCCTCTTTTTTATTTCTCAGTCTCATAGATATTGAGACATTTGAAACATAGATATTAGTCAATTGCTAACATCTGCCACTGAATTATAGACCTAAGTTGTGGTATCCCCAAAAATCATTCCCCTAACAAAATTAAAATGAAGAAAAAAGTCACATTCTAACAAATACTATTTACAATTCATATCACTTTGTCATTGTTTTTAATGCAGGACACACAGTTAACAACCTACGCAAACACTCAGAAGATCCTGAAATCAAGTCACTAGCCAAGAAGAATGTCGGAGGATTTCGATATAAGCCAAGAGGAGACTGGTTTTCTTTTGCTAAAGTAAGGAAACTTTGCTTCCTTTGCTCCTGTTAACAAACGTTGGTTTTCACGAGACTCACCGGCCCATGTGCAACACTGATCTCATACGTCATCAGCCCAGAGCTGCTTCCGTGTACAACTGTTGGCGCAAGCTACATTAAAGTGATTATTACGATTTGAATATGGATATTTTTCGTACAAAAACGCATCGATTCGCTACAGAAGGCCTTTGTTCACCCCCCGGAGCCGTGTGAGACACTTTTTTTTTTTTTAATGGATGGGGGCTTTTTTTTTAACTTTTTTTGGACTGATGCATGCAACATCCGCTGAGTGGCATTAAACAGCTTGAAAGATCAAAGACAATTTTTAATATAACTCCGACTGGATTTGTCTGAAAGAAGAAAGTCATATACACCTAGGATGACTTGAGGGTGAGTAATTTGTGGGCTAATTTTAATTTTTGGGTGAACTAACCCTTTTTAGCTATTTCTTTTTGTAAAATTAATTAAAAAGTAACCGAGATCTGAAGCGAGTTTTATTTTTATACTTTAGAGTGTTGCTAATAAAACTCATTGTGCACTTCCTAGACATATACATTTAGAGAACATATTGACATATTGTGTTCGCTTTAAATTATTCCCTAAGAAAGTCTTAAATGTACCTTTAGAAATGCTTCAGGAACCCCATATTAAATATTATCATGACACAGTTGTACTTAAAATTCTTATTGTACATGGATAATAAATATTTTCCTGATGTTCCAGGTGGAGCATGGACTGGTGGAGAACATAGAGAGAGAAGTGTTTCACCAAAGCTCTCGACTTGTTAGTGGAGCATACAGAAGGACTGTGAGGGCTCTTGTCTTTGCACTGAAAAATAGGCCTGACTTGAGAGCGCAGGTCAAGGATGGCAAACTACCAGTTAATAAATTTGTAAGCATTCACAAAAAGAAACTGTGAAGAATTGAAAAATTCAAATATGGGACCTCAAGAAAACTTTTTTTATTTATTTATTTTTTTTACTATTTTTAACTTTCAGTTTTGTTCTTAAATACAACATTTGACTTTTATTTACATTGCATTTGTCAGAATGTTCTTTCCAAAACAGTACAAAAACAGAGATGTATCAAGTCCTTATATATGCATTGTGTGGCACACCTATAGAAGCACCAACCACACAATAGCAATTAACATGAGGATCACAGCGAGAACACAGATGCTGATGAAGATGATGTCACTGGTCTCATGAGGTTCACTTTCTTCATCAACATTCTTGTTGTTTGATTCCTTGGCCAGACGGGCCAGTTCATTGAGACGGTTACGCTCCTCAACTGAGATGATGTTGACCATGGCCATCTTCCTCTGGGCGTCACATTGCACCTCATACTCCTGAATATTCTGCTGCGGTCCATCAGAGTAGTCGATATAAAGCGAGTTCACCAGCATGGTGATGTTTTGACGTTTCTACAGAAGATCACAGGATATGGGGCAACATTAATTTTAATTTGAACAAAACCATATTAAATGTAGTCTTTAAGCTGATGTAAGATATATCAGATATTTGCTAAAATCAGCCAATGAATTAGACCTAAATCTAAGACTGTCGCTGAAAAAAGGTGTAGGGTAAGTAGAGGTGTTTTAAATGTGGTATCCCAAGAAATCACTGCATGAGTGTCTCTTTGTCTATATACCTGTCCAGCAGTTCCACAGTTGACAAAACGGGCTAGAATTTTGTAGGATGTTTCTGTCAGCTGGGCCGAACAGGATGGATTCCCAAGATAAATGTTCTCACGGTCCAGCTGGGGCAAAGCCTCCCTGGAGATCTGAATCTGAAACTCAGTTCGGGTGCAGCTTACATTGACTGGCACCACTGCGAGACACAAAGACAACAAAATAACATTCAGGTTGAGATCAATGTGGTGTTTACAATAATTATGTGAAGAACATAATTCTTTTAGTATACTTTTGAGGAATATTTTGAGAAATAAATGCAATTCTCTTTTGCCAAACAATATGATTGTTTTAAATAATAAATACTTTTGAAATGTAGTCTTATGAAAGGTGTTCACACAGACTATTGATTAGTTTTCACTGGTGTTTAGTAATTGACTTTAAATGCTTTTTTATAAGAGTCCTTAATGTAATGCCATTATTGGCCTTAAAGCTACACTGTACATTTTATTTTTGCTAAATACTCTTTTAAATAAATACTCATATTTCAGAGCTGTCACAACATTTTTGTGGGAAACGGCATACATACATAATTCGCCCATGTGCCTACTCATAGTGCCTAATGGTCTAATGTCATTTATGTTAGAAGAGTGAATTCAAACTATGATAAGTGAGCACTCACCTCCTATATAGGAGGCCGTGAATCCCTTAAAGGCATAGTTCCGGTCAGTGCTGAGAACAACCAGTAGTTTATTTCCCTTAGAGGTCAAAGATGGAGGCTGTTCACTGCCACACCACTGACCCAACAGCGTGTCTGTCTCGCTGTCCCCATCGTACACATACACAGAGTCATAGTCGCACATGTCAGTCAGGCTGTTTCGATCCTCAAGCTCCAGAAAGGGGAAAAATAGCTTAATCCTGTAGCCAGCTGCTAAAGTGATTGTCCAGTGACAGTTGATGTTGTTGGGGTAAATGTTTGGGTAGTGAGGGCTAGTAAAGTTCCCACTGATATTTTTGAGAATTTGCTGGCACTCTCCTTTAAAAACAGGAATATCAAGGAATAAGTATTTGAAATTGTATTTTATTGTGATAATATCTGGTTTGAAAACGTGTCTCACCTGAGTAGTAGTAGGCTTTAAACCCTCTCCCGCCAATATTAAAGTCAGACTTGAAGACCACAAGCAGATGGTTTGATGTGGTGACGGTGTTGGGAGGTCTCTCATTACCACAGTAATTGCCCAGGTGACGGTGTTTAACAGAGGGGCCATCAAAGAGGGCCACGTAGTCGAAATTGCACCCCTCATTGTTTTCCAACTGGAAGTCGAGGAACACCAGGCTCACTACACTCTGATTGGACACGTGTACAGTCCAGGAGCAATCTGCATTGTTGTTGTACTCTAGTGGATAACCTGGGCTTGAGATGACCCCCGATAGACCGGTCAGTACCCCACCACACATATCTGATTTTGAGAAAGGAACAAATTAAGTTACATTAGTTGTAATAAAAAAAAAATCTGTCATCTAGCATGCTGTCATTTACCTCGAAAAATATTTTTTATTTATTTCTTAGTTTGCACTTAAGCTTGAATTTAAACAAAAAAATTATATGGGGCAAGGCATTCTGGAGGCTTTAAAAGCAGAAATGTGCGGCTCTTATATTTGTATACAGTGCTACAGACATCATTTCTGTCAGTGGATTTACTGACTTTAATCCTTAACCCATTCAGGTCATTTTTACCTGGAAAAGATTACTAAAACTAAAGAAAAAAAATATATATTTTTTTTTATATGGAAACCAAACTTGTGAAACACAAAATGTAAAAAATATATATATTTTTTTATTTACTTATTTTGAATTATTAAGTGTTTAAGTCTAGAATTTGTAAGAATTTGTAGAATTTTTAAGAGATTTTAAAAGTAAAATGAATGTAGAGTAATATTTATGTTGTTTTGATGTAGAAAAAGACATACATTTCATTAATTTGGACTGTTTTGAGCAATCTTGAGTAATATGTTCAAATGAATTTAATTAAATCCATCGATTTCAATATATTTCACTATAAAATAGTAACATCTGGAATACTAACCTTTTTTTAATGAGGGTTAGTTGGTCATGACAGTTGAAAGACTGGATATATCAAGGTTAGTAAGCAATTTCATCACACTAGACTTATGTTAACACATATGATGTTGAAGTTTTGTGGCTATACTACTGAAACAAGGTGTATTATCCCTGTGCAATGTCTTGCCCCATAGACTTTAATTGTAAAAGGACTGCAGTAAACACAATATTTGCTTATTTTTACAAACTGAGGGACAAGTGGTAATTATTGTCTGTTGTAATCAACTGCATATTAATTGATATTGCACCTGGAATCTTCAGTCGCACTCCTCACCTTTCCTATAGCCAACCGAGAAACCCTTGCGTGCAACATGGCGGTCTGAATGGAAGATGATGGACATGACGTTCCAGGATGAGCTGAACTGAGGAGGAGACACATCTCCACAGAATTTCCCCAGAAGGTTGCCTTCATCCTCTGAGATGCCGTTGTATATCTTGATGTAGTCATAAGCACAGTCTGTATGGTATTCCAGCTCGAAGTGATGGAAGGTTAACAGTACGGAAGAGCCTTCCGAGACCACTATCAACCAGGTGCATTCAGTATTATAAGGGTACAGGCTTGGAAAATTAGGGCTTGACACATTGCCACTGCTTGCAGAGAGGATTCCTCCACATTTAACACCTATAAACATATTATACTGTAAAAAAATTCTATGGTAACTTCCCTTATAGTCTATAGTGAAAAACTATAATAGATCTAATTGGACATTTCGTGTAATTTTACTCTGAAATACTGCTAAATTTACAGTTTTGGAAGTGAAAAGGAACAAGTCATCTTATAACCTCTTTGACACTTCACATTTGTTTCTTCTTAGTTTTATGCTTATCAATTATGTATAGGGTTTTATGTTGCATCTTATGTTGTTAAATTAATGTTAATTGCATTATTTTAGTGTCGTGTTTGTTACCATGATACCGTATCTACCTCACGTTGTGGAGAGGCTACTTGTGATGAGCTTTGATTCATCATTGTAAAGGTACAAAACTGACTTTAATATTTCAGTAGGTTAATATTACTTGAGTTAATTCAATATATTGAATATATATTAAGTTCAATCTGCAAAATCTAAAATGTTGATACCATATTTCTGGCAACCACAGATGCTTTTTTTCTACCACAAATATTTACAGTAGATTTTTTTATAACAGTGTACAGTTGAATACATTTTTATCCAAAGCAACAAATAAAATCTACATTGTATTCAAGATCTACACTTTATAAGTATGCTTTTCCTACTGAATATACTTGTGCTTAAGCTAATGCTCAGAAATGCACAGGCATTAAAAACTATCACAGAATCATCAAATTTAGGAAGCTGCCATACATACAGAAGAACTGAGGTGTTTACAATGATACAACATTCATAAGGTGTACACTTTCACCCATGAGATAGGAAGCCGTCCTACCTTTCTTGGAGGTGACTTTTCCAGCAATGAACAAAACATGAATGAAGACAGTCATCCTTAAAACCATGATGTTTCTTGTAGTATGTAGTGTTTAAGTTCTTCTGCACATACTGTCCTGCAGGGTTCAGAGAGCAGACGTAATATTAAAGCTCTTCATTCTGTGGCCTCTCGTTCTGGGGCAATTGGATAGGTGGTCCACTCTTTGACTCTCTGACTAAACTTTAATGAGGACTATCAAATGCACGCAGGTGGCTTGTCAATACACTGTTTGGAGAGAAAGGCATGAAAAGTTAATGAGTGTATCGTGCACATGGAACAAGTGGTGTGTTTTAAGTTGATAAGAGGAAGAGACACACAGATGACCACATGTATTACAAGCAGTGTAATGCTGCTGATATTTTAAAGTTTAGACAGACTTGTGAAGTTTAGACACAAACATTATTATATATCCACAATTCAGCAAATTGTGCAATTCATTAATTTTTTTTAAAGGAGGGTGATTTTTTGTAATTATTATTCAAACAATACAAAAACATTTTTGTCAAACCAAGAAGCTGATAAACGAACAAATGAACAAATTAATACAAATAAAAAAAAGACATAAATTACCATAAAAAGAAATCTTCAAATATATATATATATATATATATTTATATAAAACACTGGATATATATAGGTACAAAATATTATGTTAGACATAATACGGTACCCTCCACTAATATTGAAAATCCCCATTTCCACCATCAGGACAATAATTAAGAGGTTCCAATCAACTAAAGATGTTACAAATCTGCCTGGAAGAGGATGTGTGTCTATATCGTCCTAATGCACGGTGAGGAGGAGAGTTTGAGTGGCCAAAGAATCTCCAAGGATCACAGCTGGAGAATTGCAGAGATTAGGTAAGTCTTGGGGTCAGAAAGCCTAAAAAAATATCAAACAGCCCCTACATCACCACATGTTGTTCAGGAGGGTTTCAAGAAAAATTATCGTCGCTCATCCAAAAACAAACTCCAGCATATTCAGTTGTCAGACACGACTGGAACTTCAACTGCCACTGGCTTCTATGGTCAGATGAAACTAAAAAAAGAGCTTTTTTGCAGCAAACCCACCAAATGGGTTTACAAATAGGGATAAAAAGTACCCATGCCATTCCCACAGTTAAATATACTGCAGGATCTTTAATGTTGTGGGTCTGTTTTTCTGCAGGAGGTTCTGAACATCTTGCATCATGGATTCTATCAAATACCAACAGATAAAAAAATCGAAACCTGACTGCCTCTGTTAGAAATCTTATAATGGGTCGTGGTCGGATCTTCCATCAGGACAATAATCCAGAACAATCATCAAAATCAACACAAAAATGGGTCACTGAGCACAAAATGAAGCTTTTGCCATGGCCGTCCCAGTCCTCTGACCTGAACCCTATAGGAAATGAGTGGAGGGAACTGAAGAGAAGAAGCACCAACATGGAGCTGTGAATCTGAAGGATCTGGAGAGATTCTGTATGAAGGGATGGTCTCTGATCTCTT